TCTGGTTAGCAGGCAAGTGTCTTAGCCACTATGCTACCAGAGCTCCCTTATCATCTTAGGCATGCTAATTACCTCCATGAGCCTCAGTCATCTATTCTATAAAATGGGAAAATAATACCATCCTTGCAGGGCTGTGGGGATTACATTTGATAGGCATTAAGCACCTATCACTGTGTTTGACAGGTAAAAAGAAAACCTTAAATGATAGCTTCTATAATAGCCATGATGATGTTGAAAGAATTGAGATTTAGTCTCTGGACCAGAGTTTTCTCTTCTGTGACACTAGAGATTGAGATCCTATTTCCAAAACCATGAACAGTTCTAAAATATCCTCTGCAATTTCATTTTTGTTTTCATGGCCTGAGAACTACCTCTTTTCTATTCTATGTGAGGCATAAGTAACCCAGGTCTAACATTCATTGCTTTGGGATAGAATATTTGAACAGTGGTTCTGCCACATGTCCTGGGCCATGCCCTTTCCCTGGTATCCTGGGTTCATCTTATTGCCTCCTGATACTGCTCAGCTTCAGTATTACTGGTTGAGTTTTCCAGCTTGTTCCTTTTTTTCCTTCCAACACAGGGATTGGCAAACTTTTTAGGTAATGGGCTGGCTTTGTGGGTACACTGTCTCTGTCACAACTACTGAACTTTGCTACTAAAGCAGCCATAAACACAACAGCAACACATTGCCATCAGGTCAGATCTGACTCATAGTGACCCCTCCTTGGGTTTCCAAGGTGTTATCACTACGGAAGTAGATCGCCCAACCGTCCTTCCGAGGAGTGGCTGGTGGGTTTGAACCACCAGCCTTCTGGTTAGCAGTCAAATGCCTTAGGCACTACGCCACCAAAGCAGCCATAGTTAATGTTAAAGATGGACATGTCAGTGTTCCAATAAAACTTTTTGGGACACTGGGATGTGATATTCCATATAATTTTTATGTGTTGTGAAATATTTTTCTTCTTTCAATTTTTTTTTTCCCAGCTGTGAAGCATGAAGACCATTCATAACTCACAGGCCATACTTGGGCCCTGTTCTAAGGGAAGCTCCAAGAAAGAGATTTTATCCCTTTCTCAAAGTCTTTCCAGAAAGCCATTTGCTCAGTCCATGTCTACTCTTCCCTTCTGGAAGGGCTCCAGTGTCCTCTGGGGACCCAAAGGCCTTCTTGCAACCCCACCCCATGAAGTAAGAGAAGCCTACTTACCACATGATCATAATAACTAACTTCATTACAATCTCATTCAAAATGTTGAAGAATTCCACCATCAGCTTGGCCTGCTCTCCCATCTTCCCCATGGCGATGCCAAAAGCAATGAAAAACCCTATCAGACCTGTTGAGTGAATCACATTAACAGAAAGACAAATTATAAATAGGGCATGTTGCTTTCCCTCCTTCTCTACCGTTCTGCATGTATGGATCTGCAATTTCACCCTGTTACCCAATAAATTGGGCATTAAAAGACAGAAGCGCTATATCTCACACTGAAAGTGCCTTTAACTATGGCTTTCCTAGATATTTTTCATATAAGCAAGTTTAACTATAAGCAGTGCTATTTTCTGGAAGAAAATTAATTTCTTTTCATTCTGAATTAAAAAGTGTTCTCGCTTCTCAATGTGAAATCATGTGTTAGCAGACTCCATTATTAGATATATTTCTGAAGCAAAGGTTGTTGAAACTGGGGGATTCTCATGCAAATTTTGGAGTCAATATTAGAATAAACCCATCTATTCTGACTCATAGCAACCCTACAGGACAGATTAGAAATGTCCCATAGGGTTTCCAAGGCTATTAAATGGGGAAGCAGATTGCCACATCTTTCTGGTGAGTTTGAACCACCAACCTTTTGGTTAACAACTAAGTACTTCACCATTGCACCACCAGGGCTCCTTTTCTGACTCATAGGACGTGATATTGGAATAAAAACAAAAACCAAACTCATTTTCATTGAGTAGATTCCTTATCATATTGCCCCATAGGACAGAGTAGTACTGCCCATAGGGTTTCCAATCTTTAAGGAAGCAGACTGCTTCATCTTTCTCCCATGGAGTGGCTGATGGGTTTGAACCACCAGCCTTTAGGTTAGCAGACAGATGCTTTAACCACCATGCCACCAGAGCTCCATCTATATTAGAAGAGCACAGACCAAGTAGCCAGTAAAGTCTATTCTGGGGTTATATCAATATTAATTTGGTGTCATCCCTGATTGAAAAATGGGTGATATGTTTCACTCTAGAAATATCTTAAATGTAAATTTAATTTTGCATTGTTAACTGCCTAACATGGGGGGGAGGGGGAAGAATGTTGAAAAATCAAAATGACAGCAATAAACATACATAAAAACAATTTGGGAAACCCCAAATTAAATTCAGTTTGTTTACTAATTTGTCATAGTAATTTTCTTGGTCAAAATTAGATTAGAATTTTTCTTTTTTCTTTAATTTATTATTTTCAGGATCATGAAGATAGAGCATAGGTTTACTATAAGATTTTGCTAGTTCCTAGGCACTCTTAGTCCTTTTTCCCCCTCAAAGAACATCACTTGACTTCCATCTAAATTCAGCCCCAGCTCAGCTCCAGAGTCAGTCCTAATCCAAGGCAGGGAGGGTTTGAGGAGCTCTGTTCCTGCCCTCATATTGCACTCAGTGGAATATTCAGCCTTGGATCTTATTCCTAGTGTGTTGGCTCTTGCTACATTTCCTGAGCCTGAGTACGTCCCGGGAAGCCGTGCCACACTTCAGTTGCTCCAGGCTAGACCTCCCCTTTCCCTATGAGAAGCCTCTCTTCCCCTCACTTCAGTTAGTTTTATCCCTCTCTCTATCTCACCCTCAAGCCCGGAGTCTTACCCAACCTACCCAGTGACTAGGGTGCACTGATTGGCTAACAGACATCCCCATTACTGACTAGGGACTGTCTAGATTTCTGATTGCCACCCAACTGCCACCAAGTCGATTCCAACCCATGGTGACCCCATGTGTGACAGAGTGGAACTGTGCTCCATAGGGTTTTTGATGGCTGGTTTTTCAGAAGTAGATCACTAGCCCTTCTTTCAAGGTGCTTCTGGATGGACTCAGACCTCTAACCCTTTGGTTAGCAGCTGAGGATGTTAAGCATTTGCATCACTCAGTCACCATGTACTGTCCTCCCCACTATGACCCACTGTTGCCAGTATTAGGGCCTCAATTCTGACGTCTTGCGTGGACGATAGATCATTGTCACTAGCCCCTGAACTACAGGATCTTGCTTGCCTATCTGACCTTCTTTACTTGCAGTGTGGGTCATCCTCTCTTCTCTCCATCCCTCCTCTTCCTCCCTGATACAGACTGGCGGCCTAATTTCAAGTCCCTTCCTATTGCAGCCAGTTTCCTATTGTGTACAATTATGCCTGGAGTCTTAGCTTATAGCACGTAAATTATACCTTATCTCTTGACTGTCTTATAGGGATTTGTTTTTCTCCAAACTCTTGGCTTTACCCTTTCTCTAGTCACCAAAGCCACTAATTTCTCCTACACCAGACATTTATCTGTCCAGATTGTCTTATTGTCCTTCACTGGACCCTTTTCTTGCTGGCAAAAAGAACCCAGCGTTTGCACTCAGGATTGTTAATACTTGGTACTTACTATTTCCCTTTGCAGCTCTTGGTCAGAAAGCTTGACAAATCATGTCACAAGTAAGTTAATGGCCCTCTAAAGACAAATGCTTAGTGAAGATTAGATCCAGGAGAGAGTGACCTAGTTCACAGTAATGTACGAAACCAAATTCAGACTTGTCTCTATTGCCAAGCCCTTCTTTCAAGCTCTTAGAGAGGAGTTTGGTAGATATGTGGCAAGTAATAATCTGTGAACATTATGACTTGGTTTATTCGTTTGGAATGTTAAGAGAAAATATACAAAGTCTCAAGGTTACAAGGAATCAGAATAAACAAACCCTGAAAGCCCCCTCTCAATCAGCTACATATTTGTAGCACAGGAGATATATTTTATTAAGGAGCATTTTCTCCTAGGAGTTGATTCAAGCAGATGGGATTAGGGTGGGGCTCAGAAGTGGGTCTGGGGGGTTTTTAGGAGAGAAAGGGGTCCATAAAGGAACAGAGTCAGGGTTTTAGCTTCCCTTATTGCAATGCTTTATTCTTGGGACTTTCCAAAACCAAATAAATAAATGAATGAATGAATGAATGAATGAATAAACAAACAAACAAACAAATAAATAAATAAATAAATAGATGACCCCCCTCCACCCTTGGAAGGCCATGGAAAGAACCTTCGTTTCAGCCATGATTTGCAAATAGGAAGTTTCTCAACAGTCTACTTCACTTGGCTTTCCAGAGACTTACTTGATCAGCACTTGGATGAAAACCAGAACCCAAGCTGTCAACACTGCCTCTCCAGTTCTTTATGTAAACATTGCCTAACTGAGCCCACTCAGTGGGACAGGGGAGTGTCATTTGGACAAAGCCCTCTTAGACTTGGTCATTGGGGTTGAATGAGCAGTGAGTTGTGTTGAAACTCCCTAGTATAGCCAAAGGTTGTGTGACTTCCCAGAATCCACTGAGATTCTGGAAACAACCAGCAACAGCTTCTGGATGATTCATTCCAAAGCTTTGGGCCTATTACTCACAGTCTCAGCCTCCTCAGGAATGTGTAGAAGATTGTGGGGACACTTTGACACCATAGTTTGGGTCTTTCAGCTATGACCTACCTACCAGAAGGGAGCAGGGTGAGTTGAGAAGGTCCTGAGAGGGTCATGGAGGTCTGGGCAGTGGGTCTAAAGAGTTGCTACAGGGTAGGTGCTGAGGATGTCTGCAAAGGCAGCTTCACTGAAGAACTCTCTACTTTTTCCTCTCCCCTTCCTTCTCTAGCCTCCTACTGATTGTCAACAATGTTTATTGATCTTCTGTTGTCTGGCAACCTAGTCAGCTTATCTCCTCCCTTGGTCTCACTTACCCAACCTGCTTTCCCCCAGACTAAACAAAAAAGATCCCTTTCTGTAGCTTCCTCTTCTCTGTGGTCAAATAATCCTCTTCCTCAGCTTCTTTCTCTCTCCCTTTCTAGATGAGTGAGGAGTGTGACTACCAAATATATTTAAAACACACATGGGACACCTAGTTAACTTGAATTTTAGATAAATAAATAATTATTTTAGTATAAGTATACTCAGTGCAATATTTGAGACATAAGCAAACAAAAAAATTCCATTGAGTTGATTAACTCATGGCAACATACTTAACACTAAAAGTTACTCACTGTTTATCTGAAATTCAAATTTGAGTAAGTGTTCTGGATTTGATCTGCCATCCTAGTAAGGAGATAAAGGCATTTGGTCTCCTAAATGGGCAATCAGTGGTAGGACCATTCAAACTCAAAAAACTCACTGCTGTTAAGTGGGATCCGACTCATAGCAACCCCTCCTTGGGTTTCCGAGGTAGTATCACCTGGCAGTAGATTGCCCAACCTTCCTTCTGAGGAGTGGCTGGTGGGTTTGAACCGCCAGCCTTCTGGATAGCAGTCAGATGCCTTAGGCGCTATGCCACCAGAGTTTGGTGCTCTGGTGGTATCACTGGTATCTCCACTGGCTAATCCATTTCTAAACAGCTCTTACCCAAATACTTAGGTGGATCAATATACTTCTTCCATCCAGATTCCCCATTTCTCCTAGTATATAGTCAAATGTTACTATCATTGTAATTGCCCAGGATGGGGGTTATGATGGGGAATGGATTCCAGGGGGTAAGTGGGGATAAACTGGGCAAACTGGGGCCAATTACATGATAGGGAATCTCTGGCCCCTGAAGGTAGTGTCTTCTCACTGAGATTCTAAGCTCCCCATCCACTTTTAATAACAATAGCTCTCATGAATGGAGCATGTGTTATGCAATATGCTGTGCTTTACACATACAATCTCACTGAACAATCTACAAGGTAGCTGCCATCCACCCTCATTTTAAAAATGAGGCTCAGAGAGTGGAACAACTTACCCAAGGTCAGATAACCAGTAAATGGTCCATACCCTAAAAACCTGTTGCAGTGGAGATAATTACAACTCATAGTGACCATATAGGACAGAGTAGAACTGCCCCATGGGGTTCCCAAGGTTGTACTCTTTACAGAAGCAGCCTGCCTCATCTTTCTTCTGTGCATTGGCTGGTGGGTTTGAACTACCAACCTTTCAGTTAGCAGCTGAGCATTCAACCACTGTGCCATCAGGGCTTCCTCAAGTGGTTCATACAGTATCTAAACCCAGGTATGGCCACCTGCACAGCCAAAAAACCCTCCAGGATGACATGCTAAGAAGGGGTCAAGCAAGGGGAAAGGGCTCACTGGAATCCCCACAAGGTACACAAGATAATCTTTAAAGCTCCTTTTAGCACCAACTCCAAGGCTTTCCAATATGGATAGCACTGCATCTGTGCACAGACTGTGACAGCTGGAATGGTACATCCCCATACCTAACACAGTTCCAACACAGAAGAGCAGCTTAACAAAATTTTTAAGAAATAAACTAATGGGATGTATAAATTAATGAGGAGTCAGAGAAAGTGACCATCATTCCGAAAGTCAAGGAATGTGTCCAGTGAATGTTAGTCTCCTCTTCTTTTTCCATACCCGACCTCTGGCTGCCACGTCCCTCACGGCCTTTCTTCTGTCTTGTCTCTCTTCCTTAATCTCTCAGCACTCAGTCCTCAAACCAAAAAAAAAAAACCCACTGCCGTTGAGTAAATTCTTATTTGTAACAACCCTATAAGACAGAGTAGGATTGCCTCATAGAGTTTCCAAGGCTGCAAATCTTATGCAAACGGACTGACACATCTTCCTCTTGTGGAACAGCTGGTAGATTCAACCTTTCTGCTAACAGCTAAGTGCTTTAGCCACTGTACCACTGAGCTCCAGAACACAACAGAGATACAGGTTTTCTGAAAAGGTAGTGACTGAGGCAGAGGTGCTGAGATGAGGGGGCAGGGGCCTCTGGAGCTGAGCTCCCTTTGGCTAGCCCACATAAGTCCCTAAGGCGGGTCACTGTCATGGAAGCAGAGGTGCCTCCCCAAAGACTACCAGGAAAATCAGACTGTCAGGTTGCCCACCTAAGACATTCATCCCATCCTTGAACTCCAGGCCCTTCTTGATGACCATCTTGGTGTCCTCAGGTGCCTCAGTCACGGTCTCGTTCAGCAGGGAGATGACAGTATTGGTTGCATTGGCCTCCTCTTCTGACTGAGGTGCCACCAGGACCTTCTTTGTCACGGTTTGTATCTGATTAAAATAAAAATTGAAAAAGCATAAACATGATGCTTACTCTAAAAAGTCAACAAAAGTATGGATGCTTATATATTTTGAAGTTTCTAATACATTAAAAATATTTAAGAAATACCAAAACAAAGTTTTGAAAATTGGAGAACATTACAAGTATGTGTCAGTTTACGTCCACCATATGCTCTATGAAATAGGACATTATGTGATTTGGACTTTGTGCAAACATCATATTATATTCCGTCCAAATCACATAAAGTCATGGCTTATGTGGAGTCACAGACCTGCTGCTGCTCTCTGTGGCTACACTCTTTGGGATCTTACCCTTCTCCACTGGCACAGTGCTCCCAGACCAGAAGAGGGG